TGTCTATATCTGAGAACTAATTTGAAATCTTTGATAGTTTTTTATATCTATATTAAACTTGGTAGTCATCATTACAAATCCTAGCACCCAACTTGCAAACACTTAAGCATGTAAGTAAATTTACTCTCCCGAGTAGTGTCTCTGAAATCAGGAACACATATTAATCAGTGTTAAAATCAACACTCTCAGCTCCAAATAAGAAACTGAGATTTTAAAAATGACAAACGTGCCCAGTGAGTTTTTTTCCAATTAAAATTTCATAAGACACTTTTAGCACAAATTCACAGCGGCCAACCTGACCAGTGCCTGAATATGACAAAAAAGTTATGGTGATTCTTAACTTTTTCTCAACTTCCCTTATCATCACCAACCAGCAATGTGAGATGTAAGGATATGATGTAACCATGCATACTCCCCTAAGTTAAATCACCGAGCCTCACATAATACAAGGTCAGTGATCAACACAAAAAGGGAGGATTCACACTCTGAGCCACAACAGCACTTTTAGAGTTGGTATTTTTAAGTGAATAACATGCAGTTTTCTAAATCAACATGCATTCCAAAATATGTATATACTATAGATTCTGAAGATTGAAAAAAATGTCACTGCAGCCATGATGGTAATTGGTAAGTGCTCTCAAAGTTAGTACATATAACAAAACAGTTACTTGTTAAACCATAATAGCTTGATTTAGTTCTAAACTTCTGGGTTCAACATCAACTATAAAATCATTAAAATATATGTAATCACTCTGTTCTCCTATACATTGTTGCTATTTGATGTGTAAATTACTGTCTCCTTTTCACAACAAAGTTTATTTTAAAAACTATATATAAAAAAATGATGGGGAAAAACTGTCAGTCACAAACTGCCAAAAACAAGGAAATTCAAAGTTTAACTTAACTCTTTTAACTTGCTCCCCTGAACCTAAGTATTGCTGCACATAGTGTAACATACTATCACGTGTTATTTTTAAGCCTACTAAGCACAATGGATGAGAAAGGAACATAGTTCCAGCCTTAAATTTGAACTCCCCTGCTTTTGTTAGTATGTGTCACAACCTTAACATTATCTCAACTGTAGACTTTTATCTGTGAATATCTAAGTCCTGTCTGGTGGAAAACTAATTACTGAGCCACTGAGAGCTTCATAATGTCCTGCATTTAAGTCCTGAACATCATACATAATGCATAGGAAGCAGTCTCTGCACTCTGATTACAGAACACTGTCATTAAGTGAGCAAATTAAAGATGTGAATAATTCACTGGCTGAGCTTATTGTCAGTGCTGCATTGTGAAATTAGAATTTCTAATAAGTACTGCAATTTTTAACCCAATTAACACAGAGAACATCTTGAGTTTGATTAGTACAATAAAAAATATTACCTTATTCTTTTGCTGCACAACAGCCAAATTAAATACTATACTTAATTATGCACCATTCATTGCGTCTCTGTTAAAATAAAAACCCACTATACTTTAATAAGAGTTCCAATCGAAAGAGACAGCACATGCATCTGTAGCTCAATTTCTTATTGCAAAGTTGTTGTTGTTGTTTTAAGACTTTGCAGATCAGTTTTAGCACCAGCTGTAAACCATGATGTCACTTCTGAAGTCTGCTTTGGAAACAAATATCGAACAAACAGCACAGAAATAATTGACAAAGTAATCCTTCCAAACGGACTACGAATATGTTATACATTAACTTTTTTTCTGGGTTTCTTTAAACACAGATAAAACACATTTTTGCCTCTTATTGGTTTAAAATTTAAAATATATCCAGTTTTAAAAGAAAGTTCAGGAAACGTGATTACTAAAACAAGATTCTTACCTCGGGTCCCTATTTGGCACAGGATAGATTACATTATCTCCTTTCATCCTCGAAGGGAGACAGGGAGAGAAGTCCAACTGAACATGCAGCATGTTGATCCTCCCCACGCACGGCGCCTGCTGCCATGTTAAATAAAGAAAATGATCATTTAGGCTGCAGCTTTTGTCTCCGAATATTTTCTCACGTTGCTTTTTAATGTCAAGGACCCCAGAAACCCGGTCACGTCTGGCAGTGGCCACCGCTGGCTGCAGCTGCAGCAATGTGATCTCCCCCAACCCTGTTTCATTTCCAGCTCCTTTTCCATCTTCATCCTGGGGAAGTTTAACCACCGAGCGCGAGTGAAAAGATGGCATTGCAATGATGAGCTTTTCCCCCTAAAGACAGTGACTGCAGCAACCACCTTGCATCTTTGTCTGGATATTTGAGCCTGTGCGTTCGAGAGAAATAAAAAAATAAAGGTGCCCTGAAAACGAGACAGACACAGTGTATAGAGAGAAAGAGAGAGAAAACACAGAGAGACAGAGAGAGGGAAAGGGTGCTGTCAGTGCAGATAAATCTGCATATGGAAATCAGGGTTATCCTGGGTACAGTTTTATTTAACCATGATGTACTGTTTTTTTAATTAGACAGGAATTTAGAGAAGGAAAAAGAGAGATTCTTGCAAATCCAAGAGTAAAAGTAGCTTTTTAGTCACCACAGAGGCTTTCACAGCAATAACCCCACCAGCTGTAGCAGCAACAGCAGAACTTTTTTATAACTTTCAGGTTGGGAACAAAAGTTTTGTGCACTTCTAATAATTTATGTAGAAAAGCCAGAAAGAGTGTTTTGTAATTACCAAAAACAAGACAATCCATAATAATACAATAATTATATAAATGAATAATCGGTTACAGGCTGCACAATGTTAACCTTAATAAAGCTGTGTCACGCACAGAGCTTAGAGGGTTTTAAGGCTTTCGCAGAGGGCACCATAATGACTGAGTAATCAAGAGTTTTCAATTCATAACAATGGCAGGATCCGACCTGGATGTTGTATTTATCAGGCACTTTTGTGCTTATTGGCTGAGAACTTGTGTTCCTTCCATGCACTGGTGGATTGGCAGAGAGGAGTGGGCAGCCGAAGGGGGGGGGGCTGATAGAGATACAGAAGGGACAGGAGAAGGTTAATTTTGGCTGGCATGGGAAGGGTTGGGGACTATTGTGCAGACTATTGGCTGGTGGGAAAGGTGGATTGGGTGGAAGAATTTGGTGGTAACATGAGAAGGAGTAACAGGAGAAGACCTGCGGGTTAGTAGGGATGTATGGCAGGAGGCACTAGTTTGGCTGGGAGAAGAATGAGAATGATAGAGTGATGAACTGAAATGTAAGGGGAGGGGAGGGAGGACTGGGCATTTGGGAAGAATGGGAAATGTGTGAGGGAGGGGGAGGGAGATGGCTGATGGGGAACGGGAGGAGAGTGGGTGAATGGCAGAGAATATTGGTTCCTGGCAAGGCAGTTATCATGGAAATGTACATAGAATGGATGGTGAGTGAAAATGGGTGGAGGGTGGCTGGTAAGAGGATGGGTTTTTGACAGGTAACGTGTAGGAGGGGAACTTAGGTGCAATTGGTGGGGTCAACAGTGTGTGTGGTGGTAGTTCAGGGAAGGATTGGTGGGAAGCAGAATTTAGATGGGTGTCTGTCAGCACAAAATGGGAGGTTGGCTGGGTGGGAATGAGGAGTTGTCTGGATGGGAGACTGAGGGAATATGATGGGCAGTTGACAAGGAATTTGGGGTTGGATGGATGGGAGAGAAATGAGTGGGGTCACAGGAAGGAAACTGTGTCAGGTATTGTGGGAAATGACTAGGAAGGATGTGGTTGGATCCGTGAAAGGAAGTGTAGTGTATGTGTGTGTGTGTGCCTAAAAGGGAATATACAGGTGGCTGGCAGAAATGATAGGAGGCTGGCAGGGAGTAGGGTGTGTGACCAGGAGGGGGAAAGGTGAACAGCAAGGAATGTGGAGATTTGAATGGGTAGCTGGCAGGGAATGCGTGTGTGGCTGATAGAGAACTTGTGAAAGGTGCCTGGAAGAGGGAGATAGGCAGGGAGGGTGACAAGGAATGGCTGCCATGAGTGTGTGGGATGGGCAGAGCTTAAATTCTCATAGAGTATTTTCCAGAGCCCCCCATGCCTCAACATGCTATAAAATCTCCAGGAAATTTACAGGTGCTCCACTCCAGACAGCTCCGGCTGAATGTAAGCCCTGGGCATACAGGAGATGGTTGGGTGGCTGGCTGTCAGGAAAAGTGGGAGGTTGCTGGGAGAGGTTGACGATGAGGGCCTGGCCCAGAATGTGTGGTGGGGCTGATATGGAATAAGGAACCTGAGGGTGTGTGTAGCACAGCCTGATGGATGAATGAGTGCAGGAAAGGTGAAGGATAGCTGGGAGAGGGTAGTCTGAAATACAGGTTTTGGTGGCTGGGAGGAAATGTGTGAATGCTGACTGCTAGGCAGATGCATGGGGATGACTGGCTGACTGGGGCATTGGCTAGTGGGGAGTAGCACAGAGCCCTATGGCAGGAATGACAGAGCAGAATGCTGAGGGGGTTGCTGGTGGGGAATGGTGCAAAGGCCTGGGGTGGAGCTGGCGTTAAGGGGTGGGGTGTGTGTGTGAATGGCACAGAGCCCTGGGGTGGGGTGGCTGGAGCCAGTGGTACAGAGCCCTGAGGTGGAAGCAATGCTGGAGAGGTGGCTGGGGGGGGATGGTGTAGAGCCCTGGGGTGTTAGAGGCAATGCTAAGGAGGGGGTGGAGGGCAATGCTGGGGGCGTTGGATGTGGCTAGGGGTATGTGGCAGAGCCCAGAAGGGTGTCGGGGGGATGGAGCAGAGCTCGGGAGAGGGCAGCCTGCCCGTCCGGAAAGCAGCGTGCGTTGGGCGGGGGTGGTTCGCATGGCTGTCCCCCCCTGCAGGCGGCACACAGGCAGCGGCCCGGTAATTTGCAGATGGCCCCTGCCAGGGGTTTGTCTCTTTCAGTCTGGCGGGCCGCAGGCGGAAGCGAGGTTGCGAGAGCGCGAGCGCCTCTGGAGACAGAGTGGGCGGAGTCCCACAGGGGCCTTGTCCAATGAGCAGGGAGCGTGCCCGGAGATCCTGCCCTCGAGCACGCGCAGTAGCTGGATAGTTGTTGTGCGCGGGACGTACGGAAAAGTATCGGGGCTCGGAAGGAGAAGAGGCAAAAATCCCGAGACACGTAGGTAGCGCGTGCCCTGCGTTGAGAGCCCAGCGCGTGCACCTGGCCCCGGGGCTCGCACCTTCCCCGGCGCGTGCTCCTCCCCGCGCGGCCGCTCCCCTTCTCTCGCCCTGTGCCCGATTGTCCCTTCCGTGTGCGCCACGTGCCTAGTGGGGACCCTCAGGGCATGACCTGCAGTGACTGCACCAACCTTGGGTTATCCCCAGCGCCCTCCCTTCTGCCCCCTGCATGACTTACAGTGACTGCAACACCATGGGTGATCCCCGGCACCCTCCCCACTGCATAGCCTGCGGTGACTGCACCAACCTTGGGTTATCCCCAGCGCCCTCCCTTCTGCCCCCTGCATGGCCTGCACTGACTGCCTTTGTACCCAGCCTGGGTTATCCCCAATGCACTCCCAGCTGCCCAGTGCCTGGCTTCCACCGGCTGCTGTCTGTGCCCAGCATTTGTTATCCTCAGTGCACTCCCCTCTGCCCAGTGCCTAGAATATATTTTCCGTAGTGCGCTTTCCTCTGCCCAGTGTGTGGCTTCAAGTGACTGCATCCTTTGCCCAGCATGTATTTTTGCAAGTGAATGTGCTTTATGTGAAATGTGTGTGGCCCTAGTTTGTATGCCCCATCAGGGTTTGAGAAAGCCCCATAGAAGTAATGATTAGGAAGCTTTCTCTGGCAAGTGTGAGCACCTAACTTACCAAGCTCTTATGGTGGTGACGAAAACCTTTCAAATGTGACCTGATGCAATGTCCTTTGCCTGCCTCTGCAGCCAGACAAATTCCTAGGAAGTGATAATGAAAGTCTTGTGTCTGTTGCACTGGGGCTATTCAGCACCCTCTTATTATGATCCATTTTGGTGTTACTCATGTCAGTTACGTTCATTGGACTGGAAAACCAATAAGCAGCAGAATGGGAGAAGGACTCCAAAATGTTGGGGCGGAGGGTAAGTTAGGCAAGAGAAACTGGTTTCCAACAGTCAGAAAGTAATGATCGGAGGAAGGAAGAAAGTGGTTCCTTTTGTCTTTGTGGATAGGTGTAGGGAGGAGAAACTTCCAATTTATTATATACATAGCAGCTAGATTCTGATACAAAAGATAGAGGCCCTCTGCATGGTGGTAGGAATTGCCGCATGTTTTTCGGCAGCTGGGGCTACTCTCCTTCCTAAGACATTGACCCTAAAATCATCTTTTTTTATTGTCCTCTTGTTTGCATCTCTGGCACTAGATATCTGATTTTTTTTTTCAAATGCTTACTGTAACAATCTAAATAAGAGAGAGTAGTTTTGCATTTTAAAGGAGGTATTTCTTCACTAAGAGCTTGCAAGGAAAGTTAGTAAAATCTCAAATCAGCCATTGATTCAAATGTTCAGCAATACTGCAGGTGGGAAATGCACAGAATTGTATATGGATGGTAACTATGAAGATCCGTCCCTAATCCTCTCTGGAGTTAAATTAAAATGTGCTGTCCAGAAGTCATTGCCCTTTTTCTCCTTAAGGGATTCCTTCTGTGATCAGGTCCTATTGTATTTATAGTCAGGGTTAGTTCAGGAGTGTATGAAGTGATCCCTTTAATTTGGGTCAGCCTATTAAGCTGTACGTCTATGTTTACTGTCATTTGCAAAATTACAATGAATATGCTTAATAATTCATGGGGAAGTTCAAAACCAGGCATAAAAGGTTGAAGATATGCTTAAGCAATGAATATTTGATGATATTGACCTGAGACTAAACAATACTGCAGAGTGAGTTAGATCATGTAAAAACATTACAAAGGGCTGGTCCACACTAACCCCCCACTTCGAACTAAGATACGCAACTTCAGCTACGTTATTCACGTAGCTGAAGTTGAACTATCTTAGTTTGAACTTACCGCGGGTCCACACGCGGCAGGCAGGCTCCCCCGTCGACTCCGTGTACTCCTCTCGCTGAGCAGGAGTACCGGTGTCGATGGCGAGCACTTCCGGGATCGATCTATCGCTTCTAGACAAGACGCGATAAATCGATCCCAGAAGATCGATTGCTTACCGCCGGACCTGGAGGTAAGTATAGACGTACCCTAAGAAGTATCAGCAACCAAACTGAAACCATGGTTGAACTTAGAATAGATATAATTATGGTAGAGCTCTATAACCTGCACTTTCAAGTTACTGTTTAAAACAGTAATTTTCTGTTGTTTTTTTAAAAGTCAGTTACAAAGTTTTCGTTTAGACATATGCCCTTGTTTAGTGAACATTAGTCTTCTTGCTTTTGTTCTCTCCCTTTTCACTTTCAGACTTTTTGGTAAACAGATTTTAAATACAAGCTTTCTTGCAGCCTTAGCTAAATCCAAATTAATCATATGGTAATTTTACTCACTTTATCAACATGCGAGTTACATAGTTGCATAATTAATATTGGAGCAGTGATTCAGTCTGCAGATTTATTGCTATTTAGCATGCACTTTAGCTGCAATGCTCTTTTATTGTAGGTCATGGATAACGGGAGTCTTTAACTCAATTACCTTTTTTCATTCAGTAGGGAAAATGTAGCTACAAGAAACCCATTTTCAGAAAACTAAGTTTTATTTGGTTTTTAAAATACATTTTCAGGAAAAAGTGTAAACAATGGATGATGACTTCACTATTTCCCTCACACCCCCATACCTCACTGAAAGCTTAGAGATGGCTATGGAAGTGGAAAAGGAGAACTCCAGCCCCCCTTGTTTTTCCTGTGCTTTAGACAGTCGAGATGGAGGGAGAAACTTTTCTGTAGAGTCTCATCTAGCAAGTGGGTCTCTTAAGAGGTATGTTTATATTGAATATAAAGTATATTATATTTTTGGAATGTTTCAGTTGCTTCTTTGTGTCCCTCATACAAGCCTACCACTCATACCAGGGAAGAAGAATGGTTTTATGATTAAAATACTCAGGTTTTTGAGTTTATGATTAAAATATTCAATTCCTAGCTCTGCCACAGACTTCTTGTGTGACCTTGGGCAAATCACTTCATCTTTATTTGCCCATCTATTCCCCATTTGTAAAATGAGGATGATAATTTCTTTCTCTGCCTTGTCTAGTTAGACTGTAAGTACTTAGGAACACTGATCAAGGTATTCAGTACCTAGAACAACTGGGCTGCTCGGCACAATGGTAATACAAATAATAATCATACCATCCTAGGCTGTGATTGGCTCACATCTCATAAATAAATAGTGTTTTGGTCCTCACCTAGAAGTATATAGGTGTTGCAGGAAGTAGCACTGGTAACTCAGTAGGTGCTGCTTTTCCTTCTGAGTACTGAACTATGTAGCCAAACATAGTGCCACTATGTTTTCTTTACAGTTAAACTAGAAATGCTGTTTCTTGCTTTTCTTTAAACTGTGTGCAGTAATGATGCAGAATCGACAATAGTTGGCTGAGGTAAACCCTGAAGTCTGTAGAGCACTTGAGTGTTAAGATAAAATTATTTTCTTGGTCTAGAGTTAGAGTAATTTATTATGAAACCACAAACTATGTGGATGTGATTATTTCAGCTGTTGAAGGTTATGTTCTGTATCTATGTACAAAGGGTTACTTATAAGTACTAGTAAGTCCACATAGAAGAATAAATGCTCATTCTAGAGATAATTATTAGACATGCTGGACCATTCAGGTGGATCAGTATTTCAACTGTGACATACATTGCAGTGGAGCGCTTTAGGTAATGTAGCAGTCTCCTTCGTCGTATTAAAAACAAGCTGTATGTCGTGCCTCAAGCAGGCTCCGTTGTAAGGGTGAAAGATGCTTTAGAATGATGGGCTTGTTTTTCTTTGTGTCTAAAATTTATTGTAGTTTATGACAGAGAGATGCTTTTATGCTGTTGGAGCTAGGAGCCATATTTTATTTACTAGCTATTGTATCCTTATAAAAGGTTTAACAGCCTTTCCTTAGAGAGCATTGTTGGAACTTCCTGTCTATAGCGTGTACACTACAGATATATTGATAAAATAACACTGATACACAAGTCATCTGTAGGTACTGTATCCTTTATAATATAGAAGAATCTGTGAATGGTGCTTGCTTTCTTTTTCAGGCTTTTGCTGAAACTGGATCCTTCTCCAACTGACTATGAAGCAGATACAGTGGAAATATTTGGGTTTCATTGGGTTACTGAAATTGCGTTAGTTGAGTCCTGTAGACTTCTCTTTGGTTTACTTAGGTATGATATTCTTATTCTTATTACCTCATTGGCCCATTTCCAAGATTTAATTATACTGTGTTGCTTAATAAACGTTGGGGGTTTCTACATATGAAAGCCATAGACAAAATATCTTGAAGTGTAGTAAACACGATATTATATGAGCAGTGCAATCCAGTGAGTGGCAGGTGACTTACTGGTAGAGTAACTAAAATTGATGAACTATACACTAGTGAACTATGCATTAGAATTGGAGTGTAATGTGACTGGATGTTGAATTTCTAAGCAGCATGGCACATGAGAAGAAATATATCTCAACAATTTTATGCTTAATTCATAATGTACAGTAATACTTGTCTAGTTTCAGAGTACATCCCTAAACTGTATCAGGTTTTGCTTTAATTAAATAGACTAAATGAACTTTTTTGTATGTGCACATAAACAAACGTGGATGCTATAAATCAAATACTGTAAATGTTGGACGAGGCATTTTCTTCACTTGTTTGGATTAGGATAGTGTCAGCAATCTCTTTGGATACAGTTACTCTGTGCTTGACTTATTCAGTGCAGATGTTTAATCTGGTCAGTGCAAACATACAGATCATTGATAATCCTCTTTGCTACTGTTAATCCTGAGGATGTAAAGCACATGGAGGGTGGACTGGGTTTTTTTGTATGATACTTCAAACATCTGTCATATATCCCATCACTCCTTTGATTACAGTGAATTCTACTGTACCTTGAGGATATGACCATGGGCATGTCATGGAACATGTCATTAATAGGTTCTGGTCTTTGTAACATAATGGCACAGACCCTGAAAAATGGGGGGGGGAAATGATTTTTTAAAAAATACATTGGCTCTGCTTCTTTGATATAAGCTTTGACTTCACTGTGGGTTTTTTTCCCACATAGAAAAAAAGATGGCAGGATAGCTCGTTAATGGTTTTGATTAGTTAATTGAATCTCTGTGTATCCCTTTTAGCATTCTATCTGATTCATTTTGTGCCAAAAATTGATCCTGTTTGGTCACAGGAGTGTTTTCTATCCATGTAACTGATCTTCCTAACCCCTCACAAAGCCCTGCTCTCTAGACTCAGATTATCTTGTAGGATGGTAGAGAGGCACTAAGCACATTAATTGCCATCACTGGTGTCATTCTCTAGACTCCAGTTGTCATATATAGCAATCAGGCTGGTGGAGTCACAGAGTTCGCTCTGGGGAAAGCAGCAGGGCTAGGTGGCCTTCTAAGGCTGCTTCTGATGAGGAAGCATTTCTTCAGCATAGAATAGAGCTTGTGTGGCATCTTAGCCCACAAGGTATGCATAGCTTTAGCTAACTCTTCTTCTACAGAGGCAGTTTTGTAGGAAATGGGGCTCTAATATGTGAACTCTGCTTAGCCAGTCATTTTCACTAATAACATTTGCTTAAAATTGTATTCTGTATGTTTACTGTGTGCATAAAAAAAATTGAATGTATCTTTCAAATGAGATATAAAACTGAGTTCCTGAATATTTGTGGCCATGAAACTTCCTCTTGAGCTTTTTATAAGAATACGGTCATTAAACACTGGTGTCCTGGCCCAAATCCAATTTTGGTAATTACATTTTGTTAGATACATTACCCTTGTGTTTAGTGTTGGATATGGCTGTGTTCATTCCATCCTGCCCTAAAGATTTGTTTAGTGGTAAGGTGATTCCAAATTCCACACCAAAGATTATTTCAGTTGTGGGTGAAGTGAGCCTTGTACGGATTTTGTAGCTGAAGTGTAAGGCACTTGTCTTTCTGGATGAAATATACTCTATTAATCAAGGCAATATAATTATTCTTTATTTCTGTTTGTTGATGTCTCCACCAACTCCCAGTTAGAATCTCTGTCACTCTCTTTACATTTTCCCAAACAGCGGTCTTTATCTCTCCCAATACCATTTGTTCTCCTTCACCACTACTCCATTGCTTTCTTTTTTTGTGACCTGAGCCTATGTCTACACCACAGACCTTACAGTGGCGCAGCTGTACCACTGCACCTGCACCGCTTTAAGGTCTCTTGTGTAGCCGTTTTATGCAGGAGGGAGAGAGCTCTCCCACCAGCATAATTAAAACAGCTACCACCACTTGTTGGGTGTATGTCGGTGGGACTTTTGTCAGGGAAACTTATGTCAGTCAGGGTGTTTTTTTTTTTTCTCCCCCACATCCCTGACCGACAAAAGTTTTGCCATCAAAACTGCTAGTGTAGACAAAGCCTGAGTCTAATTGACTCCTCTCCTCCCCTTCCGCCCCCCTGGGCTCACTCCTTCTCTGCACTATATTGATTTAATGATTTCTTTTTTAAACTATTGCTTTATATTTGAGTCCTTTGCTTCCTGCTCTCTCCACTTATCTAACTTTCAACTTTGGTACTCCTCTATGTTGAAATCACCAAGTGCTTCCATCTTTTCCCACACAATGGATGTGGTTGAAAAAACTTATCCAGTGTCTAATAGAGTGTGGATGGGATATAGCTGGCTGAAGCTCAACCCAAATGACTGAAGTGGCTTTTGTACAATGTGGGGAAAGAATGGTGGAACTTATTTCGGTGTCTCCACTTGTAAGAGTATTCTCAACTCTCCTTGTACAGGCTTCCAACCGGGGCTTATTGGATCCTTGCAGGATAGCTGGAGATTTCATAGGGTTTTTAAAATTTGCGCTTGACAAAAAGGATGCAGCCTTTTCTTTCATGACCTCACCATGGTTATGTATGCCTTTCTCACATCCAAATTACTGCCATACACTCTACATGGGGGCTACACTTGAAAGCAATCTGAAAATTACAGTTAGTGCAGAATGTAGCGGCATTATTATTAGTTGGCACTTCCTGTTGGGTTACATTGCACCTGTGTGCTGTGATTTGCAGTGGCTGTCAAACAGATTTCTAAGTGAAGTTGTTGGCTTTCACCTACAAAAACCATGAATTATTGAGCTCTTCCTACCTTAGAGACAATCTCCCCTTACCCAATACTGTGGCTGTTACTATTAATTAAAGTACCCCAAATTAATAATAGTCATCACCCTACTTTATATAATGAGGGGGCTGCTGGCTGGGCAATCTCCATGGGGGTCTTCTATTCTGTAAATCATTTCTGCCCCACTTGTTTACCAGAGCTTGGAATTGGTGGCCTTAAGTGTGGGCTGCATGACTTGTCTGTTCTCCCAAATTTATATTGGGGCAAGATGGGGGTGTTGAGGAGTGTTTGGGGATAGATGATAAGAGGAGAGTCTGTTGAGCTGACTTTTGTAGTTATTTACTTTTGGACACAAATTAAGAGACTGACTAGTACATTTTATGAATCTAAATAAATCATGTAAGCTACACCTTGCTTATCTCTTGTCTGATCCTTTTTTTGGCTTTCTCTTATCTGACTTCTCTAGTTTGTTATAAATGCTGCTAAAGTCATCTTCTGCCACTCCATTCATGTATCCTCCCCCAAAATCCCTTCAGCAGATTGTCTTTTTCCACATCAAATTCTTCACCTTCAGAATCCTGCCCAGTCTTGCCCCTCCTACATCTCTATTCTCATGTCTGCCCGCTCCAGCCCTATACACTTCTTGCTTTAGCCATTATTTTTTCATGGTGCCCTCCCTGCCATGCTTGGAACAGCATTGCATTTTCCTTATGATGATCCCTCGTATTTGATGTCTCTGTAGCCTCTCCTGAGTGACCTGATGCCCAGTTTATGCTCTTGTAAGCTTTTCTAGGAAGAGACTATTCCTTATTTTGTGTTTTGAAAAACATTCTATACATTTACAGCACTATAAAATAAATGTTTGTGAAATATCCTTTAACTCTATAATACATAGTTTTGTGGTATCTTTTTAATTAGGCAACACATACACAAATTGGAAAGCCTAGTACAGATGAGTTCATCAGACTTTGGTAAGTTTGACATATTTCCATTTATATTGGGGTGGAAGACGGTCTTTTTATTATATGGGTGTAAAGAATCTAGCACAACAGGACTTGATTCCTGATTGGGGCTTCTAGGTGCTACTACAATACGAACATTAATAATATGTATTAGCATAAGCCTGCAATTTCTTAATATCTCTGGCTGTATATATTTCTGACATTGTTGCTGTGGTAGGCTAAAGTGAGTGGGAAGAAAGATGTCTGCTGTTCTTAGCAGAAGTGTCGTGACTCACTTCAGTACCAGCCTAACTATATGTTGATTATCTAGGAAATGCCTAGGGTGAAATCTCGGCCCCCTTGAAGGCCATGGGATTTTTGTCATTGACTTCATCAAGGCCAGGATTTCACCCATAATGCAGGGCTTGGTGAACCGTTAATTCTTTGAATTAAAAATAAAAAGTTAATTCAAGCTCACAATGATTATTTTAGTTATTAAGATAGCATTTTTCCCTATCCTCCTGGCTTATATATAAACAAGCTGTTATATTTGCTTAGTTTAGACAATATTTATGGACTTCATTTGTCCTTGCAACAGAATCGATGAAATGGCAGCGCTACAAAACAGTTAATTTGAATTAAATACTAAGGCATGAGAAGTACGTTTCTGAAGGATTATTGCAGCCTTAGGCTTATTGTGAGTTTGAAGGCCAAATTACTTCAGCAAGTTGAGAACTGAAGTAATTGCTCAGAAATACACTCCCTATGGTATCCTGTTGCTACTTGGAAATACTTGTTATAAAGGCACAAATAAATATCTGTGCTTTTTGTTTGAGATTGTCATACCAGTGTTAATTTAATTGATGATCCAACCAATCAGCTGTTCCATTATAGTTGTAGGTCTGAGCTTGTCATCTTGCTTCTTTTATAAACATCTAGTTTCAAGGGCTAGTTGATTTGCCATAAAAGTCTAGTTTTGGCTGAGATTTTACCTTTAAGGTCTCAGCCTGGAAAGGATTTTATTGTAAATTCCAGTTAATCTTCTATATGTTGTTTATGGACCAAGAAAAAGTAATTTTATTTTTTAAATTTAAGCATCTATTTGAGGCTCTTTATTTTATCTTGTTCACTTTGTCAGATATCAAGGTAGCAACATATAATAAAGTAAAATAGTTAACAAAATAGTACAGAAATGTTTGCCAAAAATCAAATGTAGGAGTCATACTATGTCTTCTTTAGGTGAGGCACTATGAACTTCAGGGCAGACTTAGCCGAAATTCTGTGGCACTATTGCTGCTATTTCCTCTTCCACTGAGTCATATGTAACTTCTGTAACGTTACCTGCTTCTGGAAAAGCCTTAATAACTTCATGCAACTGCTAATGCACTTCCTTCTTTTACAATCTTTGGTATAATAATGCTTTCATTCATGTAAGAAATACATGCAGGAGTGTGCTGTTGAAGTGCCAAGGTTGACTGAAGACATGGTTCCCTTCAGGCCCTGAGGTGCATGCAGTCTGTAAGAGACACACACGAAGCAAATGTTTGTAAAGCATTTGGGTGTCCTTTGTTCAAAGGTATCATAAATATTATTGTTAACAGACCTAATGCTAGAAAATGGAGCAAGTTCTGAGTAAAACCAAACCATTTGCTCTCCTGAAAATAATTGCAAAGCTGAGGGATTAAATCCTCTGCCCCAGAGTGTACATGCAACTAGGCCACAGCCACTAAATACAGAGTATTTGAGGGAGGAATGGGCCAAACCTGCTTCTTCCATCATCCCCCAAATTTGGTTTGGGCCCTGTGGATGGGTTGTACATGTACACCTGGCCAACCCATATTACCCTCCATTTCTCCCTCTACTCCCAGTAGGCTTTGGAGAGTCACTGCAGAAATCTCTGAGGTGTGACAGTGTGTGCAGATCCTTTTTCCCTTTTACGTTTTTGCGTTTTTGATATTTCAAGTCACTTACAGTAAAACATTTTGTAATGGGAGTACTCACCTTGAGTGCCACCTAGCAGATGGGTTTGGTACTGCAGTCTTTCTCGCACCCTGCTCTCCCTCCAGGCTGCCAGTCAACACTGGTGGATCTTCGGTGGCTTGGCCCTCCAACCAAGTCACAACATCCAAATGAACCTCTTCTAGGATAGTAGAGAGTCCAATAAATGAACAGTCCTGTTGTCCTCACTAGTGTCTTCAGCCTGTGCTCTGGGCCCATTTAATTCAGTCTTGTTCGGGCTCTCAAATAACTCCTGTCCCCTTCTTGGGGTTTATGCCACTATGGCTGGTGGGGGAATCCAGGCCTGCTCACTACTCTGGATTCCAACCCACGGACATTATAAATAGCAGCTGCACCCTGCTTGATTTTCAGTTCGTTGGTGCTTCATCTCTGGGCCTCTTCCTACCTGGCCCCTTTTAGTTTCACCCTTATATCAAGGTTAATGTTCTTGGGTCCTCTCTCTCTCTCTCTGCAAACCTAGCTTAAGCAAACACAGCCAGAACTAAACTCTAGCTATCCCTCATACGCCTTTGACCAGAAAGGCACTCCCTTCCTCACCCCTCTGGTCCTAGCGAGGAACTGACCTGCTGAAACCCTGCAGATCCTTTTATCTGAGCCTGCTGGGCTTCGATTGCATACTTCTGTGAGGTCTCTTTAGGCATGCCTGGAGAACTCACTTTCATTGCTCCTTTCCTGTCATTTTGCTGCTTCGTGGGGAGGTCTGGAGCATCTCTATTTGCACGTCTGGGATCCCGTGCCTTCCTGGGATGTGAATCTCGTGCTGTTGAGGCCCCTTGAGCCTCTGGCTTCCTGCTCTCTCCTGCTTCTCTCCTGGAAGGTTTTGTTCCTGGTTGCAATAACGTCAGCCTGCAGGGTGTCCGAGATCAGGGCGCTTACTTCAGAACGCCCTATACGGTCTTCTACAAGGCTAAGGTCCAGTTGCGACTGCACCCAGCATTTCTGTCCAAGGTCATTTCCCAGTTTCATACTGGCCAGGACATATATTTACCTGGCTTCTTTCCAAAGCTTCCTACGTCAGATAAGGAGTGCAGGCTACGCACCCTGGATGTCAGAAGGGCGCTGGCGTAGGTAGACTGAAGCTATTCCATAATTCAATGCAGTTGTTCGTTGCAGTGGCAGACAGAATGAAAGGTCTCCCAGTGTCTGCTCAGAGAATTTCGTCCTTGATCACAGCCTGCATCTGCCACTGTTATGAGCTGGTGAAGCTGCCTCCGCCGGCAATTGTGACAGCACACTCGACTAAGGCTCAAGCGTCGTCAGTGGGCTTCCTAGCACAGGTACCAATCCAAGAGGTCTGTAGGGCCACTACCTGGTCATCTGTCCACACGTTCGTGTCTCATTATGCGCTTGCCCAGCAAGCTCGAGATGACGCTAGTTTTGGCAGAGCAATGCTGGAAGCTGTAAGACTGTGAACTCCGAGCCCACCTTCTTGGACACTGCTTGTGAGTCACCTAGAATGGAATCGACATGAGCAAGCACTCGAAGAAGAAAAAAGGCAGGGCACTGCCAGATCGTTTGCTCTCTGCCAGGAAGCCCTCCGGTTCTGGGACTTCTGTCTGTAGCACGATATCCATCTCGGAGCCAATCACCTCTCTGGGGCCAAGAACGCCTTTGCAGATCACCTCAGCAGGACCTTCTTGCCTCGCCATGAGTGGTCCCTCCATCCGGATGTGGTCAGCTTCATCTTCCACAAGTGGGGAACTCCCCTGGTGGACTTGTTTGTGTCCAGGCAGAACAAGAAATGCCACGTTCTCTGTGCAATGCGGGGTATGGACAGAGGACCCCTGCCTGACGCCTTTTTGTTCCCATGGTTGGGGGCTCTGAAGTATGCCTTCCCTCCGGTACTGTTACTCTCCAGGGTCCTCATGAAAATCAAGTAGAACAGGGCGAGGGTGATCCTCGTAGCGCTGGCTTAGCATGCTGAACCACTGCTGGCGCAGCCGCTGGACCTCTCGGTGGCCACTCCATTCCAGCTACCGCTCCAGCCGGACCTGCTGTCCCAAAATAACGGCAGTCTTCTGCATACGAACCTGCAGGTGCTGCACCTAACAGCTAGGCTGCTGCATGGTTAAATGAGCAGGAGCAGCAGTGCTTGGCTGATGTCCAACAGGTCCCATTGGGCAATAGAAAACCCTCCACCAGAGCGACCTACCTGGCCAAATGGAAGCGGTTCGCCTGCTGGACCTCAGATAAAGGCATTCGGCCTGCACGAGCCTTGATGCAGTTAATCCTAGATTACCTTCTGCATCTCAAACTCCAAGGCCTGTCCCTTTTCTCTATGAAGGTTCACTTGGCGGCTATCTTGGCCTTCCATCTGCCGCTTGCGGGTAGGTCGGTTTTTGCCCAGGACATGACTGCCAGATTCCTCAAGGGCCTTGAGCGCCTCTACCTGCACGTTCCTCCGTGGGACCTGAACCTGGTGCTGTCGCGGCTCACGGGACCCCCTTCAACCCTTTGGCTTCCTACTCTCTTCTTCTCCTGTCCTGGAAGGTTGCATTCCTGGTCGCAGTAACATCTGCCCGTCCAGTCTCAGAGATTAGGGCGCTCATCTCGGAACCAAGGTCCAGCTGAGACCACACCAGGCTTTCCTGCCCAAGATGGTCTCCCAGATTCATACAAGCCAGGACATTTTCTTACCTGTCTTCTTTCCAAAGCCGCATAAATTGGAGGAGGAGCATAGGCTGTATTTCCTAGATGTCAGGAGGGCGTTAGCCTTCTACATTGAAAGGACCAAGCCATTCCGCAAGTCGACACAGTTGTTCATCGCGGTAGCTGACAGGATGAAAGGTTGCCCAGTGTTCATCTTGGATCACCGCCTGCATTTGCTTCTGCCATGATCAGGCGACCCTTATTGTGCAATCCCCGGTGATTGTAACTGCCCACTCGACCAGGCGTCTTCGGCAGCCTTTCTGGCCCAAGTGCCTATCCATGACATCTGCAGGGCGGCCGCTTGGTCATACGTTCACGTCCCACTACGCGCTTACCCAGCAGGCCAAGGACGACACTGGCTTCAGTAGGGTACTTCAGTACTATCAACCGCCAGACTGTGAACTCCGAACTCACCTTCACATACACTGCATGTGAGTCACCTAGAATGGAATCAACATGAGCAAGCACTTGAAGAAGAAAAAATGGTTACCTACCTTTCATAATTGTTGTTCTTCGCGATATGTTGCTCATGTCGATTCCATTACCTACCCTCCTTACCCCTCTGTCAGAGTTGCCGGCAAGAAGGAAGTGAGAGGGTGTAGGGTCGGTGGCACCTAATACACCGACGCATGAGCGCGGCACTCAAAGGGGGCACCACAGGCGACCCTACAGATACTGCTAAGACAAAAATCTCCAACAACTGTGCACGTGGGGGCGCACACACCTGAAATGGAATGGACAGGAGTAACACATCTCGAAGAACAACAGTTACGAAAAGGTAGGTAACCGTTTTTTGTATTATTTCAGGGACTTCTTCCATCTATAAAGCCAGCTTGGTTTTGGTGAATCAGTTCAGAAGACGGAAGTGCACTTAGTAACAAAGGTGTTATCTGTGTTTTAAACATTTTATAGAATTCAGAGGTGTCTCCATCAGATCCAGGACTCTTCCCTGATTTTAATGATGAAAATATCTGTTTCTTCTCTGTTATTGGACCAGCTAGTACTTCTCTTTCTTTATATGTCAGCCTGGACATTTTAATAACCTGCAGCGTGCCAGTTCTTCCAAATTTTTGTATCTGTTAGTGTAAATTTCCCAGAAATATTTTACTAGTATTATGTGAAGTTCTTGTAAATGTGGTCTCTGCTGTGCTGCCAAAACCTTATCCCTCCCTCCCCGTCCCATGCAGCTGAAATGTAGCTTTTAAAAATGCTTTTGGGCTTCAGTGTCCCCATAGTGTACCTAGGAATTTGTCTGATGATGGTGTTTTTCCATTCTTCCATCTCTTCTTATTAAAACTAATCCATAACAATGCTTGCTTACATCTTCACAGATTCTAAAGTTGTGCTTTTCTGTTTTTTAATCTACTGTGTCAGGGAAAACAAGTGAAGATAATGTGAATGATTCCCACTATACTGAACTATGTATAGCATTTTCTCTTTTTTTTACCTTTAACTGGACCGTGTTTTGTGATAGTTTGTGTGGAGGATACTTAGCAGGAAAAAATTGTAATATAACATTTTATTTACAGTTGAACGATATTGTTTAAACAGAATTGCTCTTAGAACTTATTGTGAAATATTTTTGATCACTACAGTGTCATTAGTATTATAAAGATTTCTTTTGAAAGAAGTGATTTATGCCTCTAACTCGTTAATTTTCTGTTTTCAGGTCAGGCTGCAAACCTACACTCTGAAGCGGGCAACATCAGACATCAGTGTATTGCATTTCTGCATTATGTGAAGGTGTTCATCTTCAGGTGAGATGACATACACAATTTCAATAACTAGTTAACTTATTGTGTGTAATTAGTTTTGAATAACCATCCGTTATAAACCCTTTAATTATATATTGATGTGCTGTTCATTCAGATACCTGGAATCACACAAAACAGAGGATGACGGGCTACTTCATCCATATGAAGAACTGGAAGTCCAGCTCCCTTCAGTGCTGGTTGAGGAGCTTCATGCCTTGACCTTACATATTGGACATCTGTATGAACTCCCAAGTAGTATCCTGGGAGCATTTACCATTCAACATCAGGCAAAGGTTTGGCTTATCTTTTTAATACCTCATACAGCAGTCCAGATTTGACTCTTACAAATTATGATGAATAAAAGTTAGTTTTATTTAAAAAATGAGATTGCATCTCATGCACTTATTAGTTAAGTGTCATCCCATATTGCTCAAACACAGTTATATTTTGACATTGGGTGTATTAGACCTTGCATTTTTTTTGTACAGTATTTCCCTTTTAGAATCCTTATTGGCATTATGCAAATAAAATGTAATTATATTTAGAGGTGAATAAATAGGCTTGATCAATCGGCTTGTCATAGTGCTATTATTTGTTTTTCAAAAATTAATTGTGTTTATCCATGATGACAATGAGAACTCTTGAGTTCCCAACTAGAAGAGGCAGTTTTATAAAGACAAATTCTGAAACTTGTCTAAAACAGGAAAAGAGCATCTTTGTGCAGGAGAAAACTGCAATAACTCCATTTGCCTTTTGGGGGGGAGGGATAGTTCAGTGTTTTGAGCATTGGCCTGCTAAACCCAGGGTTTTGAGTTCAATCCTTGAGGGGGCCATTTAGGGATTTGGGGCAAAAATCTGTCTGGGGATTGGTCCTGCTTTGAGCAGGGGGTTGGACTAGATGACCTCCTAAGGTCCCTTCCAACCCTGATATTCTATGATTCTATGAACATTTAATAGACTAGAGCAGTATACAGTTGTAAGATTTTTCCATTTGGGGTAGGGAATATTTTTATTTTATTTTGTTTAAAAGGGATTCCATGATTAGAGCGCTATGCAAATCAGTACGATGAAGGAAAATACTTATGGTAAGGAGTGACATTTTGATTCCTGCCATTCAGTCTGTTTGGGTCAAGGACTGATGAAGAACTGATGTTCTCTGTCTCTAGGGATGGATGCGTTACACTTTGAGTAGCTCTGAGGTCTCAGAGGTTAAAATGGTTAGCGCTCTTGCCTCTGAATGAAAAAGTTGATCCTTATTATGGTCCATTTACCAGTTCTCTGCTGTCTAATAATGTGTGTGCTAGAAGGGCACATAGGGAGCTGATGGTGCTTCACCTGTTTACCTTGAACTAAGATGTTTTGGTTAGCTGGATTGTGGGTTAGATTAAAGATTTTGTGAGCCTGCTCTAAACAGAAGAGTAAGTGTGTGAGGAAGAACATTTTCTCTTTCACTTTGGAACGTATTATTTAATGTGATACTTGCCATCAGTGGGACTCCACATGGTCATAGGAGTCTGCCTGTCCTCGTGGTTCTTAGGATAGGATCCAGGCTTTGCTTAGGAAATATGAAATTAGAAAAAAAATTGTCTTTTATCACAGCTGTTTCCTCCATCGTGGCATTTACTGCATCTCCACTTGGATATCCATTGGCTAGTGCTGGAAATTCTTCATGTCCTAGGCGAGAAGATGCTGCGTAAGTCCATCTGTTTATGGTGCATGTTTGTGGTTTGCATATTTTTAGTGATTTAGTCCCCCGTTTCTACCCCCTCCTCCCCCCCCCGGTTATATATGTTTCTGATCTGAAGTTGTCCAAATTATTTTACTTTCTTTGGGGATTAGTTTCTGCATTTACTTTATTTTTTTTCTTTTTAATTGCTATTAGATACATTGGCTAAAATCAAGAGTGGTGAGGGCAGGTTATTTCCAAGTTTTCTCACATGCTTTGGCTAGTGCATCTCAGTCTGGATGTACAGTACAGTTACTAATCCGGGGTTGATCCTATCCTAATGAAGGTTGACAATTAAATCAAATTGTATTGTGGATTTGTGCTACTGGGATTAGACTGAGCCATCAAATTATTTTCTCTTCAAATGACTCAAGTTTAATTTAAAAAAATACACTTCTGAATGTTGCTTGCAAAAATCAAAAGGTGATGAACAGCACACAATAATTTGATGTGAACTGGGTGGAAAGGGTATCCAGGGATGGCTGGTACAGATTTGAAGAGAATGGTCAAGACCATAGAGAAACTCGTTCATGTTATGTTGAGGCTATGATTTTAAAAGAGGACACTTCCTCATCAGTTCCAAGCAACATGTCTGTGCTTCATTTATCAGAATTCTTGAGGAGATTTTGTGATTGATTTAAAAAAAAAAAATCCATATTTTTGTCCACAGGCGACCACTGAGGAGGTATTGGGAGAAGAGAGAGAGACCTTGGCCAAAGGAGTGTGTGAAAATATAGTGAGAAAAGGGCAAACCAATATGTGTGGGGGGGGTTCAGTGGCTTTACAGGGCAAGGAGTACACTGAAACTAGTAAGCTGTTTATGGTAGCAACTAAACTAAAAGGTCAGGGAATGCAGTCGAGGAGACCAGCTTCAAAGCAATTCAGCTTGCTAGAGAAAAATGGTTGAAATACGAAGGAGGGCAATATGAGTTGCATAGTGAGGATTATTTATGTATTGTTCATTTGTATGTCAGCCAAGTCAAGCACAAAAAATAATTCTAGAGTACTATTTCTTTCCCCTTTCTATAAGTGTTGTGTCACATTGCATTGAAATCCACTTTAGTATAGAGCTTCTAAATAATGGTCCAAGACTGGTACATATGTGAATTACAAAAATTGTAGTAATCTAGACATTGAGGTATATGAGAGCCAGCTCCTCTTTTAGTAATTCATTTGCTGTTGTGGGGGTGGAGTGAAGGAGGCCAACAAGACTTCCTGTTAAGTTTCCATTCATAATACAGTGTTATGGAAAGGCAGATATATACTTGTCCAAGAACTACAGTAACATTTAACTGCCACGTACAAGTTGGAGTAATAATATATTTGACATTCATATAGCACTTTACGTTAACTAATCTCCACAACTTCCCATAAGAAAGATATACTAAAACATATAAGGGGCAGATTCTGCCACCTTTACTCACGTTGAGTAAAATCTTATTCCATGTGGGATCCCATTGACCTTTCAGCTGAAATTCAACTTGACCTAAATAGGACCCCTCATGGAATAAAGTGTTGATCAACATGAGAAAAGGTGGCAGAATTTCGCCCATAGCTAATACATTATATAATTGTACAAAATGTATTATAGTAGGATGTCGCATAATAAAGAGTTTTCAGCAAAAACAGTTATAAAGTATATGTTCACTTGAATTCAATAAGCGTAACTTTTTGATATTAGCTGCCCTCAAGCAATGAATTTCTAAACATTTATATCACTTGCTTTTGGTTTTTTTCATGTGTACAAAAAATTTTAGACACTTGATTGCTCAGTTACCTAGACCCAATGCAGCTGCTATTTAAATTAATAACAAAATGCCTCATTATGTCACTAAGAGCAGTACTCATGCTTGGTCACTTATCCACAGTGTTGTGAGTCCTCCAAAATATTCATCTTTGATTTTGTTCAGCAGTTTAATTATGGATTCAGTATCCAAAAAAATCTTGTATTCCTGTGTGAATTCTGCACTACTGCGCACAGGCATAATTAATGATCCATACATATTTTAATTTTTTGCGCAGAAAAGCTTCTGCTGAAATGTTGCTGCAGTTCTGCCTTGTGCCCACCAGAGGGCGCAGTGGTGCAAGAACAGCAGCAGCTCCCAGCCAGCAAGGGAAGAGAGCGAGCCTGAAGTGCCTTCTTTGTAGTGCCTGTCAGGCCAGGTCAGGAGACAGGGGCTATGGGTAGACAGACAGCGTGGGGTGCTGGGGGGGGGGTGTGTGTCAGACAGGGGCTCATAAGGGCTAGTGCAGGAGGATAGACTGGGGCAGGGGCTGAATGGGAGTGGAGACAAAGGACCACGGGGGGGAGGGAGGTGCAGGGCCACATGGTGATGGAGGGGGTGTAGAGCTACATAGAGACAGAGGGTGGCTGGGTGGAGGCACACAGAGACAAATGGGGACAGGCGGGAGGGTACAGGGACACAGACAGGGGAGTGGCTGGGTGGGGGCACAGAGCCACATGGTGATGGGGGAGGGATGCAGGGCCATATAGGGATGGGGGGAGTGGGTGTCCGAGTGGGGGTGGAGGGACACATGGGGATGGGCAGATGTGCCTGACTGAATGGGAGAGGCTAGGGGTCTGCATGGGGGAAACTCCCTAACAATCCCTCCCTGCCCCGCAAAAAAAACCTGTTCCATACTTTTCCCACCCATACCCAACAACCCTCCAAGTTCACACCCAGGTTTCTTCCCAGCAATTTACTTCCATCTCCCTCAGCTCCTCTGTTATCCCGGAATCCCCCCAAGTCTTTGCACTGTTTCTGATGGGCGTGGGAAATACAGTTCTTTATTGTAGTTTAAAGGAATTATTACTCAGGGTACGTCTATACTTACGTCCAGGTTCGGCGGTAAGCAATCGATCTTCTGGGATTGATTTATCGTGTCTTGTCTAGATGCGATAAATCGATCCCGGAAGTGCTTGCCGTCGACACCGGTACTCCTGCTCCGCGAGAGGAGTACGCGGAGTCGACGGGGGAGCCTGCCTGCCGCGTTATTCACGTAGCTGAAGTTGCGTATCTTAGTTCGAACTGGGGGGTTAGTGTGGACCAGCCCTCAGAGTCCTGTATTAATATGCCTAGTAAGGAATCTATTTGTCAAAAAAAAAAACATTTTCTGAATCTTTTTTGTTGTCTGTCTTGTTACAGACAAACTTGCTGACGGGTATTTTGAAATAAATGACCCAAAATAATTGAAACTGTTGTGATAATCTTGTGTTATTTTGACCAATAAAATATGCAGAATTTTAAAATACTGTGCACAGAATTTTTAATTTTTTGGCGCAGAATTCCCCCAGGAGTAAAGAATCTTGTGTATACGAGATCCACAAAGTTTTGTAATGAACAGAGAGAGATGATGAAGTGTGTGAGGTTGGGGGTTAAGTGTTTGTCTTTTGAGAACTCTTTCCAAACTGTGGCAGATAGTTATTTTATTTTTTTATATAACACCAATGGTTTGTAAGGCATGGAAGACAAGGTCCGTTCCCCACAGAGCTTATAATTTAAACAGAGAGAATGGATATAAGTACAGAGAGAAGGGTTGGGAGGTAATGAAAGCAGTGTGATTTACTGATGAGGTTAAGCATTTTGCCATGATTTAAAAAAAAATTGAGTGAGTGGATTTGGTGGGGAAACATTTGAATTTTGGGTTCCTTGAAATTGATGTTGCTATGAATTTTTTTTTGTCCCTTCAGGAAGCAATTTAAAGAGCCTTTTTATACTTGAGAGCTGTTAATTGTTGATCAGATTCTGGGTGGCAGTCCAGTACACCCTCTGCACATTGGTGGGCTTGTGTTTTAGCATTAAAATTCAATCAACGAGACTATGGTATATGCATTAACTTTACTGGGCTTGCATCCTTTATGCCTTTTAGCACTCCTAGGCTCTTGTCTTTTTTTTTTTTTTTTTCTCTCTGAAGCAATTCAGGTGAAGCCCTGACCCCACAAAAGTCAGTGGGAGTTTTGTCATTAGCTTCAATCTTCAAGAATAAAATATGGGCCCAATTCTGCAAGACTTCTGTTCCACTGATATCAATGGGAGCTCTGCAGGTGGAGGCCTTGTAAGATAAAGCCTTATCTTATCATAACCTTGGAGGTGTCCAAGGTTATGGTACCCAGTACTCTTTCCTTAGTTATCTGTATAACTGTCTCAGTATGTTCTACTTGGCATAGGGACATGCCAACGTTTTACACAAGCAGATTTTAAGGACAGTGTTAGATCTCCCAATGATAAAATTGTTTGTGGTCAGTTCATGGGCCTGTAAAACATGTAACGATTTTAGAACACACACAAGAACATAACATAAGAACAGCCATACCAGGTAAGACGAATAGTCCAGCTAGCCCAATATCCTGTGTTCCGCCAAGGGCTTCAGAGGGAATGAACAGAACAGGCAATCGTTGAGTGATCCATCCTCTGTCGTCTACTCTCAGCTTCTGGCAAACAGAAGCTAGGGACTGTCAGAGCATGGGGTTGCATCTTAGACCATCCTGGCTTATAACCATTGATGGACCTATCCTTCATGAACTTAACTAGTTCCTTTTTGAACCCTGTTATAGTTTTGGTCTTCACAACATCCCTTAGCAACGACTTACACAGGTTGATTGTGTGTTGTGTGAAGTACAGTAACTCCTCACTTAACATTGTCCCGGTTAACGTTGTTTTGTTGTTACGTTGCTGATCTATTAGGGAAAAAGCTTGTTTAAAGTTGTGCAATGCTCCCTTATAACGTCGTTTGGCAGCTGCCTGCTTTGTCCACTGCTTGCAGGATTCTCTGGAAGAGCAGCCCCTCCTTGTGGGGATTAGAACCAAGGGGGGCCATCAGCTCCCCTAAATGAGCTCAGCAGCTGCCCAGCAGCAGTTCAGCTGTCCCTCCCCCCACTGCCGTGCTGCTCCTGCCCTCTGCCTTTGAGCTGCTCCCCGCCGTTTTAACCTCTCCTCTTATGGAAGCTGTTCCATACACCTAATAATTCTGTTAACTTTTTCCTGCTTGCTGGGGGAGGAGAGGGAGAGGGGTGCTGATATCAGGATGTCCCTCTGCTCCTGCCCCTCCTCCCCCGCTCTGTACCCCCCCGCTCTGTACAAAGCGGAGGAGGAGACAGAAGGTGGGGGGGGGGGGAGGAGAGCTTGCTGGAAGCTGTTGCTTCCTGTCTGAACTGGCTCATCTGCTTAAAAGGGCAACGTACTTGAAGTGGGGTCAGCAAACTTAAAGGGGCAATGCACGTCTCTCTCTCACTCATGCACGCACCCCTCAGCACTTTCGAAATTCAGCCTGTGCAGCCGTGCATGTGCTGTCAGGAGGAGGGAGTGGTGCGCTCCAGCTGGATAGCGTGGGCTCATCATCATGTTCAGTTTTTGCAGGGAAGTGTTTGCAGCTACTGCCCTGCATCTATTGTGTTTCCTTCCTCCATGCTGCCTTGTAGAGTGGAGGGCTACATTAACAACAGCATATTAACCCTTGAGGGCTCAGCCAAGTGCTAGTTCATCATTTAGCAGCACGGCATTCCCTGGGAAATATTTCACCCTCTTACTCCACCACCTCAACCAAGCTTCACAGTCATTCAGTGCTGTGTACAATATTAAACTGTTTGTTTAAAATTGTTTAAAACTTATACTGTATATGCATATAATGTCTGGCAAAAAAAATTTCCCTGGAACCTACCCCCTCCCCCCCCCCTTACATTAATTCTTTTGGGGAAATTGGATTCACTTAACATTGTTTCTCATAAAGTCGCATTTTTCAGGAACAAATCTACAGCGTTAAGCAAGGAGTTACCGTACTTCCTTTTGTTTGTTTTAAACCTGCTGTCTATTAATTTCACTGGGTGACCCCTAGTTCTTGTGTTATGTGAGCGAGTAAATAACATTTCCTTATTCATTTTCTCCACACCAGTCAAGACATCTGTCCTATCCCTTCTTAGTTGTCTCTTTTCCAAACTGAAAAGTCCCAGTCTTTTTAACCTCTCCTCTTATGGAAGCTGTTCCATACACCTAATAATTTTTGATGCCCATCTCTGTACCTTTTCCAATTCCAATATATCTTTTTTGAGATGGGGCGACCACATCTGCACGCAGTATTCAGGATGTGGGCGTACCATGGATTCATATAGAGGTAATATGATATTTTCTGTTATATTATCTATCCATTTCTTAATGATTCCCAACATTCTGTTAACTTTTTTGACTGTCAATGCACACTGAGTGGATGTTTTCAGAGAACTATCCACAATGACTCCAAGATCTTTCTTGAGTGGTAACAGCTAATTTAGACCCCATCATTTTGTACTTATAGTTGGGATTATGTTTTCCAATATGCATTACTTTGCATTTATCAACACTGAATTTCATCTGCCATTTTGTTGCCCACTCACTCAGTTTTGAGAGATCCTTTTGTAGCTCTTTGCAGTCTGCCTGGGACTTAACTATCTTGATTAGTTTTGTATTATCTGCAAATTTTGCCACCTCACTGTTCGTTTTCCCAGTTCATTTATGGATATGTTGAACAATAGTAGTCCCAGTACAGACCCCTGGAGGACACCACTATTTACCTCTCTCTATTGTGAAAACTGGCCATTTATTGCTACCCTTTGTTTCCTATCTTTTAACTTATTACTGATCCATGAGAAGACCTTCCCTCTTATCCCATGAAGCTTACTTTGCTTAAGAGCCTTTGGTGAGGGACTTTGTCAAAGGCTTTCTGAAAGTCTAAGAACACTGTATTGATTGGATCACATGTTTGTTGACCCCCTCAAAGAATTCTAATAGATAGGTGAGGCATGATTTCCCTTCACAAAAGCCACCTTGACTCTTTCCCAGCAAATCGTGTTCATCTATATGTCTGATAATTCTGTTCTTTACTTTTGTTTCAACCAGTTTACCTGGTACTGAAGTTAGGCTTACTGACCTGTAATTGCCGGGATAGCCTCTGGAGCCTTTTTAAAAAATCGGCGTCACATTAGTTATCCTCCAGTCGTCTGGTATAGAAGATGATTTAAGCAATAGGTTACATACCACAGTTAATAGTTCCTCAATTTCATATTTGAGTAACTTCAGAACTCTTGGGTGAATACCATCTGGTCCTGGTGAGTTATTACTGTACAATTTATCAGTTTGTTCCTAAACCTTCTGTAATGACACCTCAATCTGGGACGGTTCCTCAGATTTGTCACACAGAGGCATTTGTTACTGAGAGGAATTTGCAAATGAAGAAACCTTTACTGCAATGTAGTGACTGCAGGGATTATGCCAGCAAAGTAGCTATATAATGCCAACCATTCTATTGTCAATCAGAATAATATCAAACTTTTATGAAATGGAGAAGACGACAGGGATTAATTTGGAATGGGAAAACTTTCCTCAAGTAATTTTTCTGCTTGTAAGCAAAAATGATACTCCTCTCAGAATTGCGTGTTGACCCAAATACAGTGAATAGAAATTGTTGTCTTTGTTTCTATAGAATCAAGCCCAAGTATTAAGGAGATCTGATCTTTTGTTGTGTTTTAGGACAAATTGTGTACGCTCACCAATTCATGAACCTAACCGGAGAAAATTTAACCAATATCAGTTTATTTGAAGCACACTGTGGAAACCTCTTCTGTGATTTGATAAGCTTGTCAATCAACAAATATACGAAGGTATTATTATTTTATTTCTTTTATGCAGAAAGCACCTGAAAGCCCCAATCACGATCAGGGCTGCTTTGTGCTAGGTGCTGTACAGATGCATAGGAAAACATAGTCCCCTGTTATTGGTGTTTTAAAATTTTGCCTTTGGTTTAATATTCCCAATTTTTAAAGAGTGTATTTGTTAGAAACTCATACTGTATTGTATTTATTCATGACCATCTGGCAATTGATTGGGAGAGTAATTTTGAAATGCACTGTGTACAGAACTGAAGTGTGTGCCACATTTAATAAGTTCAGTGTGCTGGGTTTCATGCCAAACATGAGCTATAGATGCAGAAAATATCTTTCCAAACTCTCTCAAAAGGAACAAAAAGAGAGTGACTAAAACCTTGGCAGTAAGCTAACTGGGCACTTACTTACAATGTCATATTACAGTTTATATTTACACCACTCGTATTTCAACAACTTCAGCTTTCTGTTACAGCTTCTTTACGTTTGTCAAGGGAAACTTTGGGTAGACAAACAAACGCTAGCTGTGTTCAAGTTAGTATGCTAAAAATAGCAGTATAGCCAAGGTAGCAGGAGCAGCAGCTCGCACTTGCCACCTGAGTACAAACTGGCCCGGACCTTTTGGATGTGTACGTAGGCAGCTAGCTCATGTTACCCCGGCTACACTGCTATTTTTATCGCACTAGTTGATCAGAGCTAGTGCTTTTCTCTGTACCCGAGCAGCATGCTCCAAGCTGCAGTGTAATGTACCCTTTTTGTGTAACCTCTTTAGTTTATTTTTTTAAACATTGGTGCGCTGACTTTTCTTCACAACCTCCTATCATTAGCAGATCTAAACTAGGAAGTCTAATTGCTCTATATACCAGCCAGTAGAGTAATCTCACATTCTTCTTTGATATGTTGTGTCTGTGGATTCCGCTCTAGGTGCACACACACACATCTCTGTTTCTCTATTCAGAGTGTGAGAAACTGAAAGGTAACTCACCACAAGACTGCTTTACATATTAAATATCAGTCGGAAGAGAATTTCTTTAAACAAAAAGTAATGATCAGATAACACACATGACTCAAAATGTGCTCTTTGGAGCATGTTAAAATAATGTCTTACCGCAGGACTACCAAAATGCTGCTGTGTGAAATATTGTAGGGACATTGAGGCATTTTAACATACTCCCATGAATAAAAACTATCTTCAAATGAACAAATTCTATTCTGTTAGCATTACACATAACCATTAAGGGATTTGCATGTTAAAAATAATAAATATTAAATCATTGGGAAGCTTTTTCTTCTCTTCCCAGGAACATCAAGTGAATCTAATCAATCATTTTCTCTCTCTTTCACTAGTAGACAATGAATTGGTATTTAGTGCTGTTTCTTTTCATTAGTACTTAGAACATCCCTTTCACTTATTAAATATTTTTTGAAAAATCATTTGAAACTGGTTCAGTAAAAGCTTAAAAGTAATGTTACTTCTACTGTACATTGGTAGATAATGGTTCCTTTGCTGTGTGCATGATTTATTTTAGATGTTAATGGAATAGTGCATTGTGCTTCACAAGAATCCTCTGTAATTGTGTATAAATTCTAAATTGTTGCAACAAAGAATGGAAATATTAGTATGTAAAATGCAACTTCAAATACCCTGCTACTCTGTGAGTGAATGGACTTCATATTTTCTTCACCAGGTTAGACCATCGGAGGCTCTAACTAGTCACCACTACCCCTGTAGCTGCATTAAGGAATTATGGGTTCTGCTTATTCATCTGTTGGACCACAGAAATAAAGGGTCTCATACAGAGGTAAGTGGGAACATTGCTGCATGCACAGCATGAAGAAAATATAGGAAAGTGTTTATATCCAAAACATTCAAATAGTGATTGGTCAGTTAGCAAATTAAGCACCAGATTGTGCCATGAATGCACTAGTTCACATCCAGCATGATGCAGAGTTGCACTGCCCCATCAGGAGCTTTAGGAGAAATTATGCTCCCTGACATACAAGAGACAAATGTGCCAGCTATGCCAACTTAGCCCCCACGCTTGAGAGTTCATTGTGTCCTGGTTCGAGCTTTGTCACTGGTAGCTTTCTTGTGGCCCAGGGCACTGATAGGGAGCAGTCCCTGTTTTCAGAAAAGCAAGGCAATAGAGGCTGTTACTCTGTATTGAGGTGGGAGGGGAACCACAAGAGAAGGGAAGTAGTCCTTGCATAAGTGGCGCGCGTACACACACGCCCACACACACCCACACCCACACACACACACCACTCACCCACCATTAGGCAGGTTTGCATGGCAAGGCCCAGCTACAATCTTTCCTTGAATATTTATTAAAAGACACTAGAAAAACTCTTTTGAAAGCTGCCAATCTTCATAAAATCCAAAGCGCTGTTCTTCTTTCAAATGGGTTTGTGCACTGCAGTAATGCGTATTTAGTCTGTATATCATCAAACAGCTTCATGGTAGAGTATTCAGACTTTTTAATGTGAGCAGATATAAAAAAGTCTCTGGTGAAAATTTTGTTGTTAATTATTTGTGCTACAGTAGAATCTACAAGTCAGTCAGGATCAGAGTGCCATTGTGCTAGGTGCTGTACAAATGCTGAGCATAACAAAGTCTATGCCCTGAAGATCTTATAATCTAATTAGACAAGACAGACAAAAGGTGGTTGAACAGAGGAGTGTTGTTCACATTTTTAGAAATGGTACATGTGCATGATTTGGGTAAAGGAATGGAGAGTATTCTTAACATTTGAGGATGACACCAAGCTGGCAGGGTTTGCAAGCACTTTAGAGTACAGAATTAGAATTCAAAATGACCTTGACAAATAGGTATGGATTCAGCAAACTGTAATTCAGTAAAGACAAGTAAAAAGTACTTCACTTAGAAAGGAAAAATCAAATGCACAACTACAAAATGGAGAATTACTGGCCAGCTGGGGGTTATAGTGGATCACAAATTGAGTATGAGTCGTCAATGTGTTGCAGTTACGAAAAAGGCTAATATCATTCTGGGGTATATTAAAAGGAGTGTTGTATTTAAGACAAGTCCCACTTTACTCAACACTGGTGAGGCCTCAGCCTGAGTACTGTGCCCAGTTGTGAGTGCCCCACTTTAGAAAAGATGTGTGCAAATTGGAGAGTGTCCAGAGGAGAGCAACGAAAATGATAAAAGGTTTAGAAAACCTGACCTACCCTGTAAAGGAAAGGTAAAAAAAAAAACCTGGGCACGTTTAGTTTTGAGAAAAGAAGATGGGGGGACCTGATAAATCTTCAAATAATAAAGAGGGCAATGATCAATTATTCTCCATGTCCACTAAAGGTAGGACAAGAAGTAATGGGCTTAATCTGCAGCAAGGGAGATTTAGGTCAGATATTAGGAAAAGTTTCTAACTATAAGGGTAGTAAAGCTCTGAATAGGCTTCCAAGGAAAGTTGTTGAATCTCCATCACTGGAGGTTTTAAGAATGGGTTAGACAAACACCTGTCAGGGATGGTCTAAGCTTACTTGCTATGGCCTCAGCTCAGTGGGCTGGTCTTGATGACTTCTTGAGGTCCCTGCCAGCCCTATAGTTCTACGATTCTATGATTAAGTGTCTTGCCCAAGGTCACAAAGGAAGTCTGTGATGGAACAAGAAATTGAATGTGAGATTTCCACTTCTCAGGCTAATGTGCTAACCACTGGACAATCCTTCGTTCCCATTGTGCTGGGGTGTGGCAGAGCTGGAGACTGTAAAAAGATCTCCTGAGTCCCCATCCAGTGCCTTTAACACAAGATCATAATAAATATAAAAATGTCAGGCTAGCTCCTTTCATTAAAATAAATAAATGTGTAGGCCTTGTTCTCTCTTACTGGATCTCTCCCTAGCTAATATTTCATATAATTATTTATCTGCTATATGAGGTGCAGGTAAACTGTTACCCATTTTGAGAACTAGGTTGTGTCTAAAGTTCCTGTTCCATTTGATATATTTTGTATATTCTGAGACTTTTTTTTTTTTAAAGAATATTTTCATAAACTGTTTTTCACTATGAGGGTTAATTAGTTCAGTTTTTCTTTTGTTAGACAGGTCAACCACAGTCCACACCAGTGCAAGATGATTCTGTTTTCTTCATTCTTTTGAGGATGGTAGAATACACCCTCTTCTAGACCCCTGCTCTATGTGCTTTTGAGCTAGCCTGTAAAAATTCTAGGGGCATGTTCTCCCAGGATGACCAATGGACATCCTTTTACTGCCCTTGTTTTCCATTTGCCTTCTGAAGAATAAAATCCTAAAATGGCTCTAGGTTTTCCCTGGTGCCACTAAACTTTGTTATTCAGTATTTTTTAATGACTATCAGCTTGTTTTTTCCTTTAATACCAAAAGCACAATCTTAATAAGTAAACAGGATAGTATTGAGAGGAATCCCTTTAACATAGACTTAGGTTATTATTTAATCTACTCTACAAAGTCATTTAACACAGCCCTGGTTGGCTTTCTCTGTTCTCTGCAGTCTTTTTGGAGCTGGGTGAATAAACTACTAAAGAAGGTCTTTGAAAGACCCAGTATTGCAGAAGGGATGTCTGTTTCTGAGCCAGTGCAGTGCAAAGATCCATTAAGTTTTAGCTGGTGGATTATTACTCATCTGGCATCACTTTACCAGTTTGACCGTAACGGAAATGTAGAGGAAAAGGTAGGTTTGTATTTTCTAATATTTTAACATTTTATTTAGATCTGTAATCTCATACAGGTATTTGGTGGTGGGGTAGTAACGTTACAGTAATTTTTGATGTCTACATTACAAAGTTCCTTTTAAAGGTTCATGATTTTAAGGTGTACTGTTTACAATCTATTCCATGAGCCCTGAGCATATGAATCTAAAAAACATAGATTCAGTCAGTAAACCAAGTAAGGGGACTAGAAAGTCCTGCTAGTTAGCAGTTCATGTACTTATTGCTGTAGCATATGTTTTAAGACTGTCTGCCTTCAGCATAACTGCTTCATTGAGTTCACTGCTTCAATAACCGAACATATTAGAATGATTATCTGCATTGGATGCTAGCGTCATGTAGGTTTTCTATTCTTTAAATGAGGTGTAAAGCTGAAGCATTGACTGCACTCAGTCGTTAATGCCACTTGTCATAAGAGTTAAGGGTGTTAATGTTGGTGCTCTCACTGAATTCCAGTCTGGCTAATTACATTCTGCCTATGTAATTTCCCTTGCAGTTTAAATTGCATTAATATTTTTCTTAATTTCCTGTTCTAAACTGTTATGTAGTGTTGCTTTGTACTATTAAATAAACTGCATATTATTACGATTGCTTGACACTTCCCATTAGAAGATCCTGTTTTCAATTATGTATGACTTTTTACCAAACTTTACCCATTTGGGCTGAAATTTCCCGTGCCAGATGTCTGCCGCAGGATGAGTTTTTTGTTTTTGTTTTTTTGAAAAATTTCACTAAAACAATTAAGCTGTTTCTGAGCATGAGGCTAGGAAAAAATATGTTGTTTTGCAATAATAAAAAACAATTGGCAGCCTTTTCTTTGGAGAACTCTAGTGCCCTGGTGCTTTGGAGCAGGGGCTTGAAATTTGGCAGTTTGTATTAGGAGAATGCCTTTTGTTGTCCCTGTAAAAATCCACCTGCATTTGGCCAGCATATGCTCAGTGGAGTCTTTTAAGACTATAGCAGCTAAAATCTCTGAAGAATCTGTGCCCACTGGTTATGTTCCTAGTGCTGATCAGACTGTGCATGCCCACAGAGCAACTGAGCATGCTCCCTCCAGCCCAGGGCTATAAAGGTGGCATTGGACTTTCCCTGTAATGGTTGCTCCCAGCTGCCTTGGGCAGGAGTGGAACTGAAAGCAGGGAGCCTTTCATTCCTCTGCTCTCAGTGACCCCTCTGCTGAAATCCAGACAGCATGGGGGAGGAAGCAGTCTGACTCCAATGCAAAGGGATTGGGGGGATGGGGTTGAATGGATTGGGATAAGGAATTTGGAGGGTGAGATTGGAAGTGGAAGCTGGCAGGCAGGGGGTGGGGAGGAGAGGGAAATTAGGACTGGTAATTGGGGGGAGACTGCGACAAGGAGCCAGTGGAAGACTGGGATTGGCTGGGCAAGGAGACTGGGACAAAGAGGCCTGTCTAATGTTGGTCCACATAGAAGATAAAAACCTACTACTGCTATCAGTTACCTCAAATGGCAGAGGTCTGTTCAGTGGTTCTAAATGTTCCAACCCTGCTGGTGAACCATATGGGTGTCAATATGATGCCACATGATGGAATTTCTATTTTTTTCAGATTGTTTTTTTAAAGCTAGGAAATTACATAAACACAAATTATGTTAAAGGAACATTGAAGTTGCAAAACCAAGCAAACAAAAGAGGTGGTTGTCTTTAGAATCCCAGCTTCATTTGTTGTAAAAGTCGGAAGGTGTGCAGTGAATGAGGCAGTGTATTTCATGAAGAGCAAGAATGTTCTCCTGGTTAGGGCAGTGGAATGCTGCCCTAGAGAATTGGATGCTATCTATGTCTCTCCCACAGAGTTCCTGTGTGATGTTAAGCAAGTCATTTAAACTTTTCACAAGTGGCTGCTAATTGTGTACTCCTTACTTTCTGAGTGCCCAATTGAGACCAAGGGGTCTGATTTACAGAAAAGTGCTCATCATTCGCAGCTGAAGTCAATGGGAGCTGTGCTTTGACCATATTGAGTAGTATATAATGTTAAGTACTCTGAAAAATCAGGTCCGGGGTGTCTCAAATTGGATACTTTTGACCTTTGGACCTTAATCTCACTGTGCCATCTGTAAAATGGGGATATCTTCCTTCCCCAAATCTCACTGAGGTCTTGTGAAAATAATTGAATTTGTTTGTGAAGCACTCAGATGGCATAGTGATAAGTGGCACAGAAAAGCCCATGAGATAATTAATAATTCTGTCTTCAGAACTGGGTTTGAATAGTGCAGTAAATAAGGCATGGGACCACATGTGGAACAGTGAGGAGATAACTAAATAATGAATAGCTGCTCATTAAGAAAGCACCATCCATTCTGTACACTGAATTCCTGTGGAAAATATAGTACGGTAGAACTTCAAAGATATGAACACCAGAGTTACAGACTGACCGCTCAACCGGACACCAAGTGAGACCAGAAGCAACCAGTCATATAGCAGCAGAGACCAGAGGGGGGAAAAAAGAAGCAAATATTGTACTGTGCCTGTATTGCATCTTAAAAGTAGGCACATCTGGGCGGGCTGCCTGTCTCCACCTCCCCACCCCATGCGCGGGGCAGCCACTTACAGCAAGACTCTGGGATTACCAGCCCAAGGCAGCCAGAGCCAGCCAGCAGAGCAGGAGCAGCGCTTTCACCACCATTCCCCGCCGGGAGGGGGATGCACTGATTTTCCCCCCACCCACTCCATCACCGGAAGGGGGACACACTGTTTTCTCACACACACACACACACACACACACACACACACACACACACACACACACACACACACACACACACACACACACACACACACACACACACACACACACACACACCCTTGCCGGGAGGGGGACAAGTTTGCAAAATCATGCCAGGGCTCACTAGGCAGTTCAACTGCAGCTGAAGCCTGGCCTGGAGTGTCAGCTGATGGCTGGATCTGGAGCCTGAAATGTGCTTTCTTCAGTGTTACAAACATTTCAGAGTTACGGACAACCTCCATTCCTGAGGTTTCTGTAACTCTGAGGTTCTACAGTATGCAATTGTTATGGTTCCAAGGTGAACTGTAGCTTTGACTTGTTACTCAGTCTTTCCTTGTGCACACCTTTTAAATGACAGACTCATGCCTTTACCGCTCAGGGTGGAATCAATTCACCTCATGCTAAGGGCTTGTCTACACTTAAAAACACTATAGCGGCACAGCTGTGCCACTGTAGCACTGTCATAAATATAGAGGAAAGAGTAGCATAAAATCCCTCCTTGGCAGCTGTACTGAATTGCCTTACCTGTAAGGGATTAAACAGTTCAAATAACCTAGTTGGCACCTGACTAGAAGGACCAATGAGAAAAGAAGATACTTTCAAATCTGGGGGGAAGGATTTGGTTGTTGCTCTCTTTGTTTGTTCCCTCTCCGAACAGAGAGACAAGCCAAACAGGTACAACATCTCCTGAAAATATACCTGGAATAATCCATCTAAAATCACAGAAATTGTAAGTAGGGGAAGGAAATGCATTAGAATCATAGAATATCAGGGTTGGAAGGGACCTCAGGAGGTCATCTAGTCCAACCCCCTGCTCAAAGCAGGACCAATTATCTTTTGTTTTGGCTTGTGAATTTTTCCTATGCTACAGAGGTAGTTTTATTCCTGTTTTTTGTAACTGTGAAGCTGAGCCTAGAGGGGGATCCTCTGTGTTTTAAATCTTTTTGTTACCCTGTAAAGTTACCTTCCATCCTGATTTTGCTGGTGTGATTCTTTTACTTTTTTCTTTATAATAAAGTTTTTCTTTTAAGAACCTGATTTGATTTTCAGTGTCCTGAAGACAAAGGGTCTGGTCTGTGCTCACGTTGCTAAGGCAATTGGTTGGTGTATTATTCTCAAGCCTCCCCAGGAAAGGGGATGAAGGGGCTTGGGGGGATATTTGGGGGGGATAGGGATTCCAAGTGACTCTTCCCTGAATTTTTGTGTAAATCACTTGGTGGTGGCAGCAATACCATCCAAGGACAAGGAAAGGAATTTGTGCCTAGGGGGAAGTTTTAACTTAATCTGGTAGAATATAAGATTAGGGGGTCTTTCATGCGGGTCACCACATGTACCCCAGAGTTCAGCGTGCAGGGGGGGATCCCTGGCACTTTGATATAGACACTGTCTACACCAATGGGAGGGGTTCTCCTGTTGACATAGGTAATCCACCTTGCCAAGAGGCAGTAGCTAGGTTGACGGATGAATTCTTCCATTGACCTAGCATGGTCTACACTGTGACTGAGGTTGGCTTTACAATGCCACTCAGGGATGTGGATTTTTCACACCCCTCAGTGATGTAGCTATGGTGATGTAAGTTCCCAATATAGACCAGCTTATAGGCCTGGTCTACACTAAAAAAATTATGTTGGTTTAACTCCATTAGTCAGCTGTGTGAAGCACCCACATTCCTGAGTGGTGGTGTTAAGCCAGCCTAAGTCCCCATGCAGACAGTGCTAGGTCGATGGAAGAATTTTTAAGGTCAAAAAGTCAAAGGTGGACTTCCGGCAGTGGATTCACTTACTGTCCACTAATCATTAGCAATTCTCTGCCTTCCTGCAGAGGAGTAACTCCTCAGGACTGAATTAATGCTTTGTACCTGTGTAGCAGACAACTGATAGTATCCAAATAGAGCTACTCACAATGTTTGTTTGTTTGTTTTTTTTTAAGATGGCATCTCCCACATTCTTCACATTGATCATGTAATTAATCTAATTAAAGAGTATCATGATGCAGATGCAAAAGGGAGGCAAGTTAAGCTTCCACAAGCAACCTTAATTCTCAGACTTCCTAACTTTTGAGTGCTTGACTTTGTAACCTTAATATTCTTTTATAGTAGTTTTTGTAGGTGTAGCATATTCTGTGTGCCTGTGTCTTACGTGTAATGCCTGAGATGAATATAAATCTTACTTACTTATTAAATCATCATTAAAGTAATGAAAGGTTCAGACAAAATTATAA